AAGTTACAGACAGTTGCACCCCTTCAAAAGCAAGACTTAACACAATCCCTGGAGAGCTAAAGAATTAAATTATCAGAGTAACCCCAACTCAATTTCTGTCACATTTGGTCCTCAACTACGCATTTCAAAAAATATCCAAAGAATGGCTCATTTGAAAAATAAAATGTTTTAAATTTTTTAATTTTTATTAATTATAGTTTATTTACTTTGTATCCCAGCTGTAGCTCCCTCCCTAATTCCCTCCCAACCCCACTCTCCCTGCCTCTTCTCTGATGACCCTCCCCCAGTCCAATGATAGGGGAGGTCCTCCTCCCCTTCCATCTGACCCTAGTCTATCAGGTCTCATCAGGAATGGCTTCTTTGTCTTCCTCTGTGGACTGATAAGGCTGTTCCCCCCTCAGGTGGAGGTGATCAAAGAGCCAGCCCATGAGTTCATGTCAGAGATGGTCCCTGGTCCTATCAAGAAAAATAAAATATTTTCTAGCGGTATTTCCCATGAGACTCAGATATTAGAATTATTATTTAAGGACACTGAGTCATCTACCCTACGTATGTACAATAAAAAAGAAAGCTATACAAAGAGAGGAAGGGGGCTTGGAAAGTAATATATAAACAAAATGAGAGTGCCTGCAAGGAGTTAAGAATATGAAAAGGAAGCAACCAGTAAGTCAGACAGGAGAAGTATAGGAATGGAGCTAATGTGATCTTTAATAAGATTATCTGATTTCTCCTGACAAATTGAAGAGACTAGAGACAGTGGGAGGACCTGTCTAGAGGAGAGGAAGGACAAAACCTAACTTCTGTAGTTGTGTTTGTTTGGGACAAGGTCTCACACTGTAGCCCACTCACCTTGAATTAATAGCATTGTTCCCACGTCAGCCTCCCAAATGCTGGGATTGCAGATGTGTTTTACCATGCCTGAGATGTAACTTTGCATTGCTCAGACAAAATGTCTGTGAGAATCAACTTAGGGGGGGAAAGTTTCTTTTTCTGATGGCTTCCAAGGGCTTAGTCTTGTTGCTTTGGGGGTGATGCATCATGGTAGAAGTGCATGGTGAAGGGTACTTGGTCACTTCATGGCAGCCAAAACCCAAAGGTTTCAAGGCTTCATTAGCCTCTTTAAGGACATTCTCACACAGAACCAACTTCTCTCAGCATGACCTCACAGCTTAAAGGTTCTACTGCTTCCAGCAGAGGCACAGGCTGGCAAGGAAGCTTTAACACAGACCTTTCAGGACCCTTCCAAACTATAGCTTTGTAGACATGTCAGTTAAGAATGCTATACTTGGCCAAAGCATCCTTTAATGATGGAAGAAAATGAAACCATTTACACATAATTAACAGAGGAAGACACCACCAGGAGAACTGCTCTCTGAGAAATGCTAAAGGAAAGTCCCCCAAGCAATAGACAATATACAGAGTATAATGTTGACCCATAGCACAAAGAATGATCATAATCTTAGCAAAATATATACAGGTGAGGGGAAAAAATGCTCTCAGAGTTACAGTATTTTGGCATCATTTGGAACCTCTCTCTTTTGACTATATAATTTACTGAAAATGCATAAATTAACAACTGGAAATGCATGATAATGAGCATGTAAAACTAGAAAGATCATAATAGGGAAGTAGATACAGGCATGGAGGTACCCTCATTTAGTCCTAGTACTCAGGAGGCCTAGGCTGAGGATCTTTGTAAGTTTGAGGTCATCTTGGTCTACACAGTTGGCTCCAGGACATCAGGGATTACAGGAAGACACCTTGTCTAAAAAACAACAAAGAGTGGTAACAAGAGCGAAAAAGGATGAAAGTTGAGAAAGAGATCTTTTTTTTCCATTTCATTATTTATTTAAATGTTGAAGCTCTAGCACTAAGTTTTTACAAGCTGATGAACATTGACAAATATTTTTCCCATAAAACTATAACCACACATTCCCAGACAGTATAAATACATTAATACACATCACCATTTTATCTATTACATAATAAAGCAAATGATCAAGTAGCCAATTATTAAGTTACATCACTCAAAAGGCATCTAAAATATGTCTGCTCAGTTCACTAGCAGATCCCATGTCTTCTTTATTTGCAAGAGAAGTTGGGAAGGGAAGGGGAAACAACATAATAGGGGAGAAAGAGGAAGCATGAAAAGAAAACAAAAACAAAACAAACTACAGGTTAAAGTTTGTGTATTGTAGTTGAGACAGCTACAATTAAGTTCTTGTATGTCCTGTCCATGTTACACTTTCTGTTTTCAGTTAAAGAATGATTTCCTAAGTCCTTGCAAGCTAAGGTTTCTGTTTACAGCTAAGAGTAAGTTCCTGTTTCTTAGATCTGAAGTAACCTCAAAGACGTTTCTCAACCTACACTAAACCTGTGACTCCACTCATTACCCCTGTGCTTTGCCTTCATTGTTCTTTTAAACAATGTGTTAACAGTCACCTCTCCACTGTGAACACCTTAACTCTCTCAGAAGGGACCTCAAGAAGCCAGCTGCTATCTCAAATCCAGAATTAGGGTGAGACAGCTGGCTGGCCAGTCCTGTGTGCTCCCCCAAATACAAAGCACAGCTTGCTTTAATTCTACAGTTGTGGATTTGGTCCTCTCTCCCCACAGTTCTCAAGTTTAACAGAATCATTATGGAGTGAGGGTATGTGACAAGAAAGCAGAAGTGTGTATGCTAGGGAGGGAAAAAGGGAAATTAACCAGAACTGGGGAGATGATCTATATAGGCAATGGGAGAGGGAAGAAGGTGAGAACAACTTTCAACATCACATGAGTATGAAAAAAATGTATGAAAATGCCATCACAAGCCCTATTAGTCTGTTAGCTTAAAGATTAACTTGAAAAAATAAATACCTAATATTCAAAGATGTAGTGTGTGACAGCATATAAAAGAGGAGACAATGCATAAGATGAAATTAAAGGTCAGTACATTTGTTGCAGCCTCAATGGTATCACAGTTAGGATTTCAGTCATGATCTTGAACAATTTCCTAGTGAGATGCATAGCTCCCCTTGGCCAGTGGGTTAGGCAGAGCATGGAGGGAGGCAAATTCTGGGAATGAGTAGATGGTACTGGACAACAGTGTAAGTTCTGAAAATCCCATAGTGACATTTATAACTAAATTTACTTTGCCTGAAAATTCAGGTATTTCCTGGCAGGCTGCTTTAAAAACACATATATTTTTTTGTATGGAATGGATGTTGGTTTGAAAACATCAGCGTGCGACCTTGAGTGGAGGGTACATTTCCGAAGTCAGAACCTACCTGTATCATTACACACTGCTATGTTAACAGGGCCCACCACCAACTGGAAGTTTTACAACTATATTGAACTCTTTTATGCCTTCATTTAAAAACAGAAACAGTGACTTCAAAATAAGATGCTGCCCATATCTTATTTTAAGAATCAAATATAGACGCTGACGCGTTATCGAAACCCTTTGTTACCTAAAGATATCATTAAGGTCTTGTAATTTCCAGCAACGAACACACCACAATTGACCCACAGCAATTTCAATGAATGAAATGAGAGATTTATGGCGTGAGTGCTGACCCCAGTGTATGTCAGGCCGCTGGAACACAGCTGAACAGCATTTGGGGTTTCAGCTTCCAACAACTAGGGAAGTTGGGAGAGCAAGAACAAGGAACTGAAGGCTTCGGGGGCCGCCTGTTCAAGGGAAGAAACTTTTTGCCATTCTAGAGACTGTTTTCTTCTAAAAGCACTAAAGTTCAAAATCACACATGTATGCTGTATTTTAAGTTAATGTCATATGTAAGTATCTAATGGAAGGCCAACTTTGCTTTTTTAAAAAAAATTAGGACACTGAGTTTATTTGTTTTTATCAGTATATTACAAGATAATGGGTTTCTCTGTGACACAATCATGCATGAACATAATGATGTTTGCCTTTTTCCTCTGCAGTGAGCCATGATAGAAAGACATGGAAAAGTAAAGGGACATAGGAAAGAGAAGGGCACCCCTCACCCAGGACTCTAAACCTATCAGTGTCTGAGCATCAAGAATCTCTGCGCAACTAACAGAAACATGCTGTGAACATCACATGCGCACACAAGAACCACCTTTAAAAAGAGCATATGTCATCTTGGAATTTAATCTTCCCTCCCATCCGTAAACACTTTCTGAGAACACGATAAGCAAGATTAGACGTGTTTATAATTGAGACATAAGCAGAGGATTTCCTGGTGACTTATCAGTGCGCACACCCAACACAGGGTGCGCCAGAGAGAGCTTCATGTTCTTATTTACTAAGGAAAATTCCTGAGATAAAACCAGTAAAAAATTTAAATCCTTTGAGCAATGTAAGCGCAAAAATCAAAAACCACGTTGAGCAGGGTCTGGAGAGACAGCTCGGAGATGAAGAGCGCCGGCTGCTCCTGCAGAGGATCCGGGTTCAGTTCCCAGCACCCGCCGGGTGCCTCACAGTGATCTGGGAGTCCAGTTCCAGAGGATCTGACGGCCTCTCCTGGCCTCCACTAAAACTTCATGGACAGGGCGTACAGACATACATGCAGGTAACACACGCCCACACTTAAAATATAAATATGTATCAATCTTTAAAAATAGGCAGTGTTGTAGAGACACTTAAATGTGCCTCTTGTGTCATGCCATGCCCCACTCTAAGAGCGTAATTACTGCTGTACCTAAGTCCTGCTCCTACCCCACAACCCATGCTTAAACTTATATTTTTAAACAATTAAGTCCAACTTTGCTTGGTATTGAGTCATCCTGAAATTTTCTCTCCAGTGGAAATCAAGACCATCAGCTTCACTCAGGTTGAGGTCCACAAACAATAACAAAACAACAAAACAAAAACTGCTCAGGCTACTCCAGCCAGCTGTAAGGAGTGCTGTCTTATGCTGCTATCGAAGACTGATAAACCTCCCTCACACCCTACCACTAAACCTGTGTCCACGTTTTCAGTATTCTATTTCCCTCTAGTTCCTACAGATGAACATGGGATGCTTGTCTTTCTGTGTGGCCCCGGGTTCATCCAGCTCCCTGTAGTAATTATTCTCAGTAGAATACACATGTATTGTACTTAAAGTCACATAAAGACTGAATTAAAGTGAGGGTCCTAATTTTTTCATCTTGGTTTCTTCAGCTTTTGAAGAAAGATCAGTAGCCAAAAGATTCTGCTTCCTTCGTTTCATGCTTCAGATCTGAAGAGGAACATATATTTATTTGAACAACAAAGGTCCCTGTAGCACCAGGTTATTGGTTACGCAAGGTCCTCTAGAGAAACAGAACCCATAAAGTGTATATTATAAAGGGGATCATGATGGCTAACTTCCACTCCCAGCTTGACACAACCTGGAGTTAAGTCCCAACAAAGGACTTATTGTACTGTGTGACACCATATCCTCTGAGTAATCCATTATGAATGGGAATATGCATGGTGGGGAGGAAGAGAACTAGGGAATGCCCAATCCAGGAAATTCAGCTGCCTCACTATGATGATCAAAGCCTGGAAAACCCTAGGGGGTCAGTGGTGTCAAATGAAGTAAGCTGGAAGAGGGGCCAGTCCATCATCATCACCATCATCACCACCACCACCAAAACCACCACCACCGCCACCATCAACAGCAGTACTAGCAGCACAGATGCAATAAATGCACCCGCTTGTAGGCGTAGCTAATTTCTTCTGTAATTTGGTTTTTCCATGAAGTCACATGGCAGAATTTACACATACCCTGAAGGTGTGTCCCTTTGTCCCAGTTACCGCCCACAAAGCACTCTGCTGTTGGACACACTCACACAGTCACAGGTGTGTTCCATCAGTCTTAGGTAACTCTTTAATCTAGTCAGGTCATCTACAGAGGTCAACCAACCCTAATGCTTTATCACAGATGGGAAGCAAGGGGTGAATAACCAAATTCAAAAGCAGATAGGGGACTTGAATAGATCTTTATTCAAAAGATAGGCAAAAAAAAAAAAAAAAAAAAAAGGCTGACAGGCATATGGGAACATGTTGAGTATCACTAATCACACTTTATTTTTCAACGTCTGCAAAAATACGAGCCAAGCCAAGCAAGCAGTAACTTGTAGCTTAGCAGAGGAGATAGGCAACGAGCTTTCTCTTGAGCATAATTAACTACGTAGACAGTTTCATTATTTGTTAAGCAACACAATGGCACAATGGTTTTTTGTAATAAATTTGGATCATAGGGTTTGCTGTGAAAAAATACTTTCAGTAAGATTATCTCATGTGAAATAGGACCAAGACAATTTCATTTTTTTCTATAGTTTCCAAGAATCCATTTCAGAGATTGGAGTGGTATGGAACCAACATTTCCTTTCTTTCTGTTTACTGTTTCTTCCTTCCTCCCTTCTTTGCTCCCCCTACCTTCCTCCTCTGCTTTGGAAGTACTATGGATTGAATCTAGGGCCTTGTGCCTACTAGCTGAGTATACTGCCAAAGACCTATAGCCCCAGACCTTGTTTTACCTTTTATATTATGGAAGGGCTTTGCTGAGTTGCATGGGTTGGCTTTGTGCTTACTTTGTAGTCCAGGCAGGTGTTGAACTCCCATTCTCCTGGTTCAGCTTCTCAGGAGGGGGTATGGGCCAGTGATGCCAGGCCTGGTTTGAAGTCAACATTTGTCATGCTGGTTTTGACCACAATCCCATTCACTCCACTGATAAATGGCCTCAAGAAGAATCCACATGAAGGCAGGATATCTGTGCTTGACTTGACCTTCTGTAGCTGGCTTGCACAGCACCTAATATTTAGTTTGGGGTACTAGTGTGCTCCCCACCCCCAATTTGGTTCCCACTTAGAAGCACACACATGGCTTTCTGGGTGCCACTCTGTGCAGACTTCCATACATCACCAGGTGTGAACTAACGGCAGGGAACTATGTTTTAAGAAGCGTGGCCTAATAGTGTAGGAGAGTATGGTAGACATAGGATATTTTAATTGGAATCTTTCCAGTGCTGTTATTTATTTAGAATGTCCCTAGTGTCTAGGTATCCAGTTAGGAAAGGAGATATTCTAAAACAAACATGCAAACAAACAAACAAACAAACAAAACCCTCTCCATCAGGTACCATACCATTGAAACAAAATACACAAAGAATTAAAGTTCCCTGGGAATCCCCAGGAATACACTAGGAAAGGAAAAGCTTTAGTATTGAAATATTATTAATTTTTTGTCATAGTATAAAAGTTATTGAATGCAAAGCAAAAGGTCAGCATCATTGTAGGATTTTGCTTCCTTTGTGGGGGGCAAGTACAGCACCTGTGTGGCCTGTTGGTATAATGTTCTTTTGGAGTATATATATTTACCCTTGTTCATTCAAATGCTGATTTCTCTACCCCACTTTGGTTTCAATCCGGACATTGCATTGTGATGCTTATTCTAAGCATCACCTGTCTCAAGTTTGTGTAAACATGCCGCCATTTGTTCTCTACATTGTCATTTAAACAACCAACCAGCCAATGCTGTACAATGGAGACTATAGGGTGGGACATCCTGGTCCAGAGAGGGAGGAGAAGAGAGGGAGTGGGAAGAAGGGAAGGGAGAATCTGGAGGGGAGGTCTTTGAACCACATGGAGAGATGGACCAGACCTAAGATATGATTAAAAGCAAGTATAATGGGTGAAGTCTGAATGATAGGAAACTATGTGGGTTTGGAGGTTTAGGATGGAGTAATCATTACCCAGCATTGTGCTCTAGATTAATTAAAATAATCCTAGTCTCTGTGTGGTGATTAGGGTATACAGGTTTAGGAATAACCACTGCTTAACTAAAAGATAAGTCAATAGTAAATATTAATACCTACAAATGTGGGCTTAATTAACTTTAGAGACTAAATACCACTTAATAAGAGGCACAAGGTACCTCTATGCAGACTGGTTCAAGCTGGCCCAAGGACAGTGTGTACTGGCAGTAGACTCTGAGGCCAGTCCTGTGATCTGATTTTGCTGAGAGACAGCACACAAGCATTCTTGGGTCATGGAGGAGTCATGAGCCAGGACTACAGAAGAAAGCATGCAAGGTCAGTGTGAGGCAGGGCTGGAATCACTGTGGTTTACAAACACAACATGACAGTTTAAATTCCAGACATGCAATTGGGCTGACTAACTTGAAATCTCTAAGGGGGCTGTGATTTTCTCAGGGTAAAACTGCACGTTACACCAGTGTCTGAAAAAACTTGTTCATTTCCACTTAAGGGCATGCCGACATTCTTTAGTCATCTTTAGTTGAGGGCAGCTCAGCTGTCCTTGTCTGCTGGCCCTCTGATACTGAAGCTGCAAACAGAGAAACATGTTAGAGCTCAGAGATGGAGTCTCTCCTCTTTGAACAGGGCTTGACCCTCTATTGTAACATGCCACTCGGTTTTCAGAGTTTCAGATCAGTGTTAGAGCTGTAACAAGATTTTGAGGAGGGGATAACATTTCCATATACCTACAGGTAGTTGTTTTTTTCTATGATTAACACCTCACATTAGCAGGGTATGTTATCCAATTAATGAGCACATATAATGCCATTAGTAACTGAGTCCACTCTTTTGTCCGGCTTCCTTCACTTCACCTACTGTCTTTTCTACTCCCACATGCTGCCTGAGATGGCTTTTTACTCACTTTTCTCTGGAGGCACGTATTCACTCTCAATTTCTGCCTTTTCTTTACTTTAAACATCCAAATACTGTGCAGAGAGACAGCCTTTCAGAGTACTTCAGAATTACTTGTTGGTATTTGAATAAAAAGCAAAATGCAAACCCAAATGAACAAAAGCCATTATCTCCAGGCTATTCTCACTGCTGGCAGTTAAAGATCTTACCTGTTCTGGTGTCAAAGCTGTCATCTGAAGGGTGGAGGAGGGGCTCTTCTTGTTTATTATTTTGTTTACTGGGCTCTCTCATGAGGGACAGAAAGGACAGGTACCTTCTCTCTGACTTGTTCCTCTTTAAGGTCTGAACTAACTTTCAGCTTCACATTGATGCTCAGCTGGGATCTGTGGAGGGAAACTACAATGATCTGCAGTCCACATGAAGAGCGTGGTCCTGGGTGAACTGACATTAGCTGGCTGGTAGGGCAGGCCTCTCTGTGAGAAAGCCCTCAGTCATTCCACTGAAGTTTGGCTGGACAGCTATTGGGTGCCAAGGAGAATGTTAGACAGTGGTAAAACGGAGTCAGAAAGATGACATAATCTTTATCTTTGTGCCCTTTGCTTTCATGTTTTATGAATTTTGAAAATAATTTTTAAAAAAGGGTTTATGGTTTTATCTAGAGTGCTCCACTTTCTACCCCTGCTTTCCTGTGTGAGCTAAGAGCCACAGAACAACATGTTTTGTTTTGTTTTGTTTTGTTTTGTTTTGTATCCTGGCAACTGCTGCAGGTTTTCCTGGAACTGTTTATTAAACCCAAAGCCAAGACCCTTAGGCATCAATACAATTTTTCATCAGCTGCTGGCCAAAAACCATAACTAAGATCCTTGAAGCCTTCCAGCCAAGTGTGGAAAGTCCCTCGCTCTTTTGGAATGATTTGGATCTCAAATTAGACAGAATGAAACGTCATGTTAAAAGATCAGTTCCGTTTTCCTTGATACTGGTGTAGTACCCAGAAGCTTGTGAATGTTAGATCAGCGCTCTATTATAGAGCTCTGATCTATTCCCAGGTCCTCTTTAGGCTTGGTGTTTTGAGAAAGGGTCTCCACTGAGTTGTCCAGACAGGCCGCAAACTCACTCAGTAGCTCAGGCTAGCCACACTTAACTGATTTGCTGTTAGGTCAAGTCTATGGAAGAAACAATAAGCAGACCAGGAAGGAATGCAGTAAAGTTCCTTGCTAAAGGGCTTTGTATCAACTTCCTGATGCTATATAACAAAGCCAGTGAGATGGTCAACTTATAAAGAGAAATGACTCATTTGGTAGTAGTTGCATAGGTTTCAGACTGTGGCTGGTTGGCCCCATTTTTTCTGGGCCTGTGTTAAGTAAGGCAATAATTAACTCACCAGGATGTGGGTTATATGGTAGATCAGAACTGCCCATCCTACCCCAGCCAAGAAGTGAATATTAAAAAAAAAAAAAAAAAAAAGGAGGGAAAGCGAAACAACAAAATCCACCGAATCTGCCAAAACTGCACTCCCAGTATCAGTGGGCACTCTTGAAAAGAAGCTATGTCTGCAAAGACTGGCTGATAAGAATTGCAGAGGGAGAGGGGAGTGGGGATGAAGAGATGGTTCAGAGGTTAAGAGCATTGTCTGTTCTTCCAAAGGTCCTGAGTTCAATTCCCAGCAACCGTAGCTCACAACCATCTGTAATGAGATCTGGTTACCCTCTTCTGGCCTGCAGCCATACATGCAGGCAGAATACTGTGCAAGTAATAAATAAATAAATCTTTAAAAATATTGCAGACTGGAGTGTTGCAGGTCTAGGGGCTAATTACCTCACCTCAGGCTTCCTTTAGCCCTGAATTCCTAGACCACCTCTGTGTTGAGCTAGCCCATCTTGTGACTAATAGAGAAGAGACTGGAATACGTTAGCTTACTAGCTTCTCTGAGCTAGCAATGCCGTCAGATAGTGCCTGAGGCCTCTAGGAGAGACTGCTGCCACTTTGACGTTCCCACCAGGGTGTTTTAAACTCACCTTGATTCATGACTTTCTTTGTTCTGTCAAGTTACAAAACTGTTTCCATGTTGGAACATGGAATTTGGGATTAGCTTAAGTCTGTGTTCCTGGGTCATGGCCACTCAAAATGGTTTTACAATAAACTACCTCTTATTCCCTTTAGGGTGTGAGCTGTGTTCTTACACTGTCACCAGTGACTTCACTTCTTCCCAGTATGCCCCAGATGTTAAAGTTTCTGTTACTTCTCAACTACCCCTGTTAACAGTCTGCCTACAAAGTCACATAGGCCTCTGCGAGACATTTACTATTCAAGCCCATGGCAGCTCTCTGACATGAACTCACCCCCCCCCCCCCAAGGGTAGAGCAGCCTTTCTAGGCCACAGAGGAAGACATTGCAGCCAGTCCTGATGACACCTGATAGGCTAGGGTCAGATGGAAGGGGAGGAGGACCTCCCCTATCAGTGGACTGGCAGAAGGGCATGGGAGGAGATGAGGGAGGAAGGGTGGGGTTGGGAGGGAATGAGGGAGGGGGCTAACAGCTGGGATACAAAATGAATACATTGTAATTAATTTAAAAATTAATTAATTAAAAAAAACAAAACCTTAGCAGAGGTTAATTGGAAACTATTTGATCCCCTCAAAACAACAGCAACAACAACAGAAGACAAAAGCAACACTGAGACTAGTTTCCTTAAATGCTTCATTATTCTAACAAAGTTACAGGTACTCAAGAGCAAGCCTCAGCTTCTCCAATTGTCTGTTGTCTGACATTCATTCCTTTGCCCCATTTAAAATTCTCAGGTAAATGAGTCCTCAACCTCCAAGCTTTATGTGCAAAGAAATACTTATTTTGTTCCGAGAAGCAAGAGGAAGCAGTCATGTCAGTTCTCCAGAGAGTGGGGAGTTTCCATTTCAGTAACCATGGAGTTCTGGTGAAGAGGAACCAGCTGTCACAGGAGGAAGTGACTGACCACAAGGCGGAATAAAGTGAGGCACAGATGGCTTCTGGACAGACTCGGGTAACAGCTTACCATGAAAATATTGGCTGTCTGTGCCAACAGGAAGGTTCTCTATGCTCTGTTAGACAAATGTGGGCGACAGCCGGTCTAACCGGCAAGTTTACCTTAGACCAAAACCTGGAACACAGCCAATCTCTGGTCTTGCCAGCAGTGTCTCAAACGTTAAGCGTTGGTGGTTTTCTTAATCACTATTAACATGGCGTTGGTTGGTTATAGCTATTTGTTTTCATGTTTCTTCATAAGGCACTATTGTTTGTTACTTTTTATTTTGTCACAGAAGGCAATAATACAACTGCAAAATAAAATTCCCCTTCTAGTGAAGTCAGTATCATGGGAATCTTCAGTCATGTATCAGAGAATCATTTGGACCACAGATTGCTACTGCAGCATTTTTTCTAAACATAGGTTTAAAATCTGTTCTTTGGAAATGTCGTATACAGTATACAATCTATTTTGATCATAGTCTTCCCACACCTTACCTCCAACTCTCCTGTTTCTGTCTCCTATCCCTTCTCAGTTTCACATCCTTTTCAGAGCTGCACCTCTGAAGAAAACTGACTCTCCATCTCCTCGCACCACTGACATTAGTTTCTCAGCAAGGGTGAGAGTCTGTGAGTCCCTTCCCAGCCCTGTGTTCTTCTTCAATTTTGTTTGGTTTTCCCCCTTCCCAGGCATCTTAGCAGGCTTCTCCATCTGTGATTCACAGATGGATCTCCATCACCCTCTGATGGCTACATGCAAATTCTGTGAGAAGAACCTCAGTGAAGCATGCCTTATGCAAAACTGTGCAGAATGTCAAAAGACATTCTCCTTCCTTTCTTCGGCATTGATCCCACCCTCCCTATGCCTGAGTTCCCACTTTGAAATCATGAGACTGCCTTACCACCCTCTTTACCAAAGTTGCAAAACTTAGAGTGTCCCCATCTTTCACTCCACCCAGCATTGGCCAACAACCTCTTACACAGCAGGCAACAAGGACAGGCTACTTCTTTTAAAAATAGAGATGAACAAAAAAGAAAGAAAAAGAAAAGAAAAAGAAAAATCCCAGATATTTTGGTCTTAGACTTATAAAGGTCTGAGACAGTGCTGTCCCATACCATCCCAGTGGCAAAAATTATTGAGTTTTCTTGAAATTAATTCCTCTTGTCATAGTATTTACCAGTTAGTGTGTGTGTGTGTGTGCTTGTGTGGTGTGTGTAGCTTGCTGGGTTTGATAAAATTGTGAATATGGGTATGTGGACTCCATCATATGGTGTAGATAGGATTCCTGGGAAAACCACCCAGAGGTTAATATCTGTATTAACCTTATATTTCTGTATTAACTTGTTTCTCCTTCAGGAAACCAGAAGAAGTATCTTCAAAACTACCCAAAACAGAAACCGTGGAGTTGCAGTTGGAGGAAGTGCTGCAGAGCTGTTTTCTCACTATCTGCAAGGGGCAGGAAGTGGGCTGGTCCCCACATAGTTCCTTATGTCCAACTGACCCCAGCTGTCATTCCTTCCTCCAGGTCCCTGTGTACTTCTCTGAAACCTGTGGGCCAGGACTTGAGGGAGGAGGAAAGAACAAGCATTTCTCAGGCTACCCATTACCAATTCTAGAGACACACTTATTTGTCCCACTGCCAGGTAAGAGTAGACAGAGAAGATGTTGAGACAAAGAAAGTAAATTCATTGAAACAACAACAACAACAACAACAACAACAACAACAAAACCTTCTCAATATGAACAAAGGGAGGACTTCTGCTTAGCAGGCTGGGAGAAAGGGTATCAGCTTGTCAGAAAGGGACACAGAGCAGGTTATCAGCCCCCTTTGTCTCTGGCCAGAAGATCACAATGGACTCAGACTCCCTGCCTATGTTCTGGGACCTGTGAATCTAGAGAAAGATTTGGCAATCAACATGCTAACCCTCTAGGTGGGGTCTTTCTTTAGAGTTTAGCATCCAGGTGAAGGTCAAGGATAGGGAAAGAAACTTTTTCAGAACTCTGCCAAGGACGGCTCTCCAAACTGGTGACATTGATGGACTGCCGGTTTTTCCTTCCTCCATCCTCTGACCCTTTTCTTTTATGGGAGAATAACCAAGTTTCATTGTCACTCAGAAGCGGGGGTCAGAGACAGGAAATTTAATCAATGTGCCAGGAAGAGAAACGAACAATGGGATCTGGCGACCTCAAGCTCATCTTTGAATTTGAACAGGGCTTTAGTACTAAGTTGAGGTAGATTTAGGGAACCAGATGGTTCTCTCAAGCAGTAGGACTTCTCCAAACCACCCAGAAAAACAGAAACTGAGCACAGCATAGTCAGACAGGGAATGCTTAGTTAGGAAGCTCTGTGGCCCTGGCCCCAATTCTTCCTCTACTTAAACCCAAGCTAATGTCAGTTTTCTAAAAGATAGGATTCATGTCTATGTTACACAAATTTTGCTCAAACTCCTTATGTTTTCATCATTACTCTTGTCTGGAGCACATTAGAATGTCAGAATTCAGTTACAGCATGAGGCTCAGGCCTCCTGTTGCAATATGACCCATTAATCCCAGTGCTAGAACCCCAACCATATAACTTGTGCTTGCCCATGCTTGAGGGTAATAGTGAATTCCATGAGTGTTAATTAAATAAATCAAGGAATCCATAAAATGGGCACAGTGAGAGCAGACTCTTAAAGATTTCACTGCAGAGAAGGACAAAACAAAAGTCTTTTAAAAACACCTTTGGATGGCTGGTTTCAGTTGGCAATTTAACACAATCTAGAATCACCTGCAAAGGGAGTTTTCATGAAGGATCATCTAGATTAGGTTGGTATGTGGATACATAGAAGGGAGACTAAAGTGAAACAAAACAAAATAAAACAAAGAACCTCCCACTGTAGCTGACATCATTCTCTGGGCAGGGTATTTTGAACTGTACAGGAGTGAAGAAATTGAGCTGAGCATTAGTATTTGAGCATCTCTTCATTGTTCTTTCTCTCCACTTGGAAGTAACGTACCTGCTGTTCAAATGTGTGCTGCCTTGATTCCTTTTAGCGGTGGATTGCTGTGGTTTGAATGAAAAATGTCTCTGATAGGCTCATGTATCTAAACACTTGTTCCCTAGTCGGTGGTGACGTTTGGGGGAGGTTATGGAACCTTAAGGAGGCGTGACCTTGTTGCTGATAGAACACAACTGGTGGTGGGCCAATGAATGGAGGAGACAAAACAAATCAGGCAAGGACACAGGCTAATGTGCATTGTTTCTTCAAAGTATTATCGCCATGAAAATCCATAAGACTATCAGCTCACTGGGCCTGTAAAAATGATACTATATAGTCTTCAAGGAAAATATTATTCGACTGAAAATTGTGCCAGTGTAAGAAAGGGAGAAAAAGGCAAGATGCACAGTAAAAACCTCACTGCTTCTTATGCCAAGAATTGTCTGTACTATATAGTCAATTACAGACCCAAGCAAAAACCCCCAAAATGAAGGTAGTTGAGATGACTCCCTGGGCTCTGCTGCCAGGGTCAGTGGCCTGACTTTGATTCCTGGGACTCACATATGGTGGAAGGAGAGAGGAACCAACTCTCAAAAGTTGATCTCTAACCTCTACATGTAAACACACAGGCATGAACACACACACACACACACACACACACACACACACATATGAAATGACAAGCATGTGTATGTTGAGAACTGGAGGGACTACTCACCTTGAGACCGGAGCATCAGCTGCACAGAGCAGGGAGCATGAGAGAGGCCTTACCAGTCTGTGCAGTGACTAGCCTGAAAGCCACTTCCACATGCCACATGCCAGGGAGATGGGTGGTGTTGCTTCATCTGTGCTACAACTGAAGATATTATCAGCATGCAGCTTAAGCCCAGACAGAGGGTTTCAAATCCCCAGTTCTTCTCCCCTCTTCCCAAAGTAAAGAACATCAGGAGGGACAAGGGGCTGGAGAGATGGCTCAGCGGTTAACAGCACTTGCTGCTCTTCTAAGTGAGAGATCTGCTCCCAAGCACCTTCTTGGTGCTTGGTCAGGTCACGACCATTTTATTCCAGTTCTCTAGGGTTCAGAGCCCTCTGCTGAGCAATGAAGGCACTGCTGAGCTGAGCAGAGCAGACATACACACAAGAGGCCCCTCCCCTCTCTCCCCCAACCTGTCTCTCTCCTCCTCTCCCTTTCCCTCCCCTCCCCTCATACACATGCACAGTATAATTAAAAATATAACCTTAGGAAAAAAAAACCCAAGGGTCATCTTCACCTGTCTAAATAGCACTGCTCAGAGTCCTATTAAAGTAAACAACTCTGCAGAAAGTTGTAGAAACTTCTCTGCTGCTCCCCTCCTCCCAACAAATTCTTTTTCTACCTTGTGAAATAACTTAGTCTCATCCAACAGCATCACTAATCACAAAAAACAAGAAACAATTAAGATGGTATTGGTTGGAATCTGTGGGCATCCCTGCTCTTCAAATAACTCTGAAACTGCCCCTCTCACTAGTCCTCACAGTACTGAATCTGGAGATGCAAACTAGTCAGGTGGAGTCAGCTCCATCTCTGGTTGCAAGGAGGAGGGGGTTAAGTCTGCTTTTTTAGAAAAACACACAGTGCCTTTCATGAGTCATATCTGTCAAGCCTTCTGATTAAAACAGGAGATCTCTCCACTTATAAGCATCAATTCCAGTTAACACACCCAACGGCCATTCTCAAGTTGGTTTCTTAAGTTTGACCACTTACTGGCTATCTTCCATCTTCAGAGTAAGCTGTCAAAGAGGGTGAAGTTAATGCTGCTTCAGAAGGAAAAGTTCATTCACACTGAAGGTCTAAGATTACAGTTGAGACCCAACTCCCAGAAGAGAGAGACAACACTTGCTAGTATTGTATCTCCGCTTTTCTAGTAAACTCTAGCACTAGAGCATATTTGCATATGTATTTATTTACATTTGTTTAAAACATGCAAGGATTTGGACTAGGTTTTAAATGATCAAAGGATGCTAGGTATTTAACCTTTAATTTCTTTTCATAAAACTTGAATACCTTGTTGGACTGTGGTGTTTTGTGCTAATTTTAATTCCATCACTCCAGCATCAGAAGCAGGGACTCTCTGAGAGTTCGAGGCCAGCTAGACCTACACAGTGAGTGTGTGGTACTCTTCCCCACCTTGTGCTGATTGTAGCTTTTGCCTTGTTGATTGGCTTTGTGTCTTCCATTGTTATGACCGCAAGAAAAAGATAGACTGAGCTTATATTTGCATGGGGCATTAACAGCAAGGTGAGCATGCACATCTCTCATATTTGTTACCTGGCAGATGCTTTCTTTGCACACATTTGTAAGTTACCTTATATTGAAAAGTGGGTCAGGAAAACTAGTGATATAAAATGATTATCTTCATTTAACAATTTCAATGACTTAATGCACAAGATGTATCTCATAATTTGTGTAATTTCAGATAAATGTCTGATTAGTTTAGTTCATGCGTATGCAACACTTGGTTTATTCGATATTTTTCACAGATAGACACACTACGTCACAGTTGATATGCGGAGAGGAAAAAAGGAGGCACTGCTTAGCATTTCAGGCTTTAATTCTAGCCGAATGCTAAGATGAGATCATTATGTGATTTTACAATATATGCTGGTGGAGAGTCCTGACAAATAGAACAAATCTAGATATTGTCAAGAATAAGGAACAGTTTTTAATGAGATTTCCAGTATTACTATCTTAAGCTGTTATAGAAGCCTACCACATATAAGAATTAAAACAAAGTATTGTTTTACAGTCACTGCAAGCACCAGATTTTACAAAGAAGCATTACTTCTGTTATAAGGAAATGCCACAAAACGCATTTAGTGGTATCACGACATGAAGCACTTTAATGATGAAAAGTAAACGTGATTATAAGTTGGTGTCACTGGAAGGAAGCATAATACATCAACTAAAGCATGCCCAAACTTTCGGTAAAAGCCTCAGACATGTAAAAAAAAAATTCTCTGAATAAACAATTCAAAGCAACTTTTCAGATCACATATCAAGCTGCAGTCATTCTGTCATGACTATGTCGCAATGGAGTGGTGAAAACCATCAAGAGGTTTTTGAAGCATCTTTAACATGACCTCATCCGGACAGCTCAAATTTTCTGTTTTCTGAATCGTCGCCTCTATGTAATTCTGTAAGAAAACAGCAACATTAAAAGCAGTAGAAATATTTTTGGTTATGAGCCTAGTCGTTACAGGCTGAGCCATCTCTCCAGTCCTGGGCAGTTCAGGCTTTGTTTGGGTTCTCTAGTAAGGGGAGCGGGGTGGAGGGGGAGGAGGCTGTCTCTGACATGCACTCTGTTGCCTGCTTTTTGATCACTCTCCCACCCACTCCCAGGGGCTGCCAGGTCAGGCCACAAGGGAAGAGGAAGTAGTCAATTCTGATTCAACTTGATGTGCTGGGGGTGGGTTGGTGAGAGTGTGTGGTCCCAGTTTCTGAAGAGTAGTGGAGGGGAAAAGGGGGAATCGGGAGGGAGGGACTGAGGGGAGAGAAGGGAGGAGGCTACGATCTTGGGTGTAAAGTAAATACATAAACTTACAAAGAACTCTACAAAAATAAAATACATAAACATTATATATAAAAAAGCAGTCGAAATAGAACTATTCACTAACGGACCAACGCTCACAAAGTATATGAGCGCCCACCTCTCTGCCCATTTTGCATTAGCGTCTGTGTTTGTATGACTTAAAAGTCATTATGAGCTTCCTATCTCTGACTGGTGATGTTCATACTTAACAATAAATATAGTTCAATTATGATGTGTAGTACAGGTTCAGATGACAGATAAGAGTCAAGTTTTTGAGAGTCTTAGAGATAATGTTTCATATTAGTTTACATTGCACACGAAGTCAGTAGCAAACTGGAAAAAACATCAGAGTGGACAAGTGCATGATTCAAAACCAGAAAATCAACAAGGGATCTTTAAGAAGTGGGAGGGGAGGTTATATTTTTTATTCTCATAGAGCTAAGTGTAAAATAGTGGTCCATTCAGAAGCTTAACAGTCAATTCCACACTTGCTTTAAGAAGTACTGCATTTCTGCCAGTGTGGCTAGAGTTCATGTATGAGGTGAAGTTACTTTCACAAGCATTTTATTTTATTTTTTTTCCAGATAAAGATCAGTTGACACCTTTCCCCACATTTGTTAGGAAATACTAGTCTTCCATTATGTTGATACACATGGCACATCTCTATCTTGCATCCACCGTTTTTCCTGTATTGGGAATGTAAATCTTGCCTTAATAGTCTTAATTATTGTTTTATAATTGTTATTATTATATATATATAGTTTATTATTGTAAAAAAAGAGCCTTTTATTAGACTAACAGGGGAAATTGTAGAGAAAATATCTTGTATATTGTATGGCTGGAACACCTGTCAATAAAAACAAAAACAAAAACTAGGAAATGGTAGACTAGGAGGTGGAACATCCAGTAAGCAGAAAGGATTGTGGGATAGGGCAAGGCATATGGGATTCATGCAGGAAGATGTGAGGACAGATCCATGGTACTAGAGCATAGGTAACCAGCCATGTGGCAGAATATAGATTAGAATAAATGGGTATTTTAAGTTATGAGTTAGTCAGAGAAGAGCCTAACTATATGGCCTAGGTAATTTAAAATATATTTTGACACTCAAGAGTCAGTATTTCTGAGCAGAAGGGTGTGGATGAAAAAAAACCCACACACCAGTTCACTCTACCTGTATTACATCTATGTATGTAGCTATCATTTTTAGTTGTATAGCTATCATGTATCCATGTACTTATCATCTGTATCACTATGAAGTGCCTTTCTTCTTTTTCATAGTATTATGAGACACAACCTTGTTATAAGAAGCTGAGTTGAGCATTAATATTAACTTCTGAAGTAACTTCTAGGCCTCTTCTTCTGATAGACATTCCAATTACTGTTATGGCTTAGAATTTTCATGAAGTGGTAAATATAACTACTGCCATTTTACTTGTTTCCTAAAAAAAAAGGCCCAAGAGTAGAATTTGTTAAATGAGAATGTTTTGCTGGGACTTTTCCTAGCTGGTATTACATTATTTGTTTTCAAATATTGTGCATCCCTCAAACCCAGGATGGAGCATCATTCTGTTGTTTCACAGTCTCACTGATATGTAAGTGTTCATTTGTGTTAAAAATTTCGGATCTATCTATCTATCTATCTATCTATCTATCTATCTATCTATCTATCTATCTTTAATACTATTATGGTGTGAGCTAAATTTTGTATTCTTTATCAGATAATGAGTGAAGACAATCAGCTTTTTTTTTTTTTTTTTTACCTGTGTCAGTCATTTGTATATCTTCTTTTCTGAAAAGATTTTAATTTTTGTTCACTTTTGCTAGAGGGTTTTATGTTTCTTAGTCTGGGCTGCAAGGCTGCCCCTTTTATCATTGAGTCACATAGGGTCAATGAAGTCAAATTTTCAGGATGAGATTTCTCACCTTTGCATGTGTTTGGTGAGGACTATTTCATGATTGAGCAAATTAGGATGGAGGCGATTAGGGGCAAGAAATAAAAGACTTGGAATAGTGTCTTGCATTTCATGGCAGCAAGCATCTTGAGGTTTGGCTGTTTTGATTCATCACCCTATGGAGATGCCTACAGCTCTCCTGAGGTTGTGAGGGAGTAACGCTGTTCCCACTGAAAGGAGGGGTGCTTTGTTCAGTCATTTAAAGATGGCTTTAGCCCTGTGTGATTGGTTTATGTTCTTTTTCTTTCACACTCACTGCTTCTATTTTATGTGTATTCTTTTTTTTTTCTTATATATGTCC